GTTGAAAAAGAATTAAAAAGCAGCCAAAGAGCTTCAGAAAATCTATGAGGAGGACTATTGCTCAAGACCACTTAAAAATACAAGAACCTCTGGCTACTTGAAGTCATCTGGGGGTGGCTCAAAACTGGAGGCAGCCACTTACTGGCATCATCTATCGTACCATCAAATAGTGGAATTTACAAGCTGATGCAATTTGAAATGGTTGTCAGAGCTTACTTGAATATTTTTTAGTATAAAAATAGACCGGTGAGCTAGTACATCCACATTTATTCAGCACAGATGTCTTGGCTGTAGCTCAGGAGGTAGAGCAGCTCATCTACTAATTGGAAGGTTGGTGGTTTGACCCTTGGCTGCTCCATTCACCTATCGTACTATCCTCGGGCAAGATGCTTAACCCAAGTTGCTTCTCAAGCACCCAAGTGTGAATGTTTGATCTACCCTTAGGTGTAGAAAAAAAAGTGCTTCTCTGAATGGGCGAATGAAACATGTTGTGTAAAGCTCAAGCAGAGCAGAAATGTGCTGTGTATAAACAAGTCCATTTAACATTTTATAGTTCATTTGGTGAAATATTTTCTTCTGTCCCAAAGTGTCGGTACAAATCACCAGATAAACAAAACTTATTTGAGTGGATTTTTATTCTTCTACACTTACAAAAATTCATGTAATAAAAAGTAGTTGCTGTACACCATAAAACACTATAGAAAACATCGTGTTCACCATCAAAAAAAAGCATTTTTTCTTTTTCTTTACATGTTTTTTTTTTAAAGAGTAAAGGCACATGTCGCTCCCTTGCAGACCTTAATGTTTTCACACAAGAGAAATGTGGTTTCTTTCCCTTTTTTGTTTTTTTTAACTGGTCTGATACTCGTTTGTATATCTACATGGGTACAGTCATGGTACAATCACAAGCACCCTTGCACACACACACGCACACACACGCACAAGTGGACACACAAGCAGAAAGTTACATATTCACTCGAGGACTCATTCATGCATCAAACACTATTTTCTTTCATGTGCTGAAACTGAATCTAGTTTTCCTTTATACAGCAATTTAAAAAAGAGAGTGTCAAGTTTAAAATCCTTTAAATACAGTTATTTAGGCAAAAATAATAGCAACAATAAGAAAAAAATAAACAAGGTGAGGCCAGAGAAAGATCCCTATTAGGCACATTTTTTCTATATACATTTCAAAATAAAATCCCTTGTTGAAACATTAGACAGAAACAGAAGAAAAACACTTAAATGTTGTCTTTTAAACCACACTACATATTTTTGTTTCTTCACGTTCATGTGAATAGCTTTTTTGTGTTGGGATCCCACCCTGAGAGGTTTAATTTTCACTGCTTCCAAGGTGACTCCTTCAGCAGGGGAGGTAAATGTCCTCCCACAACCACCGATAACCAACATATCAAATTAATTATGGCACTCGTATGGCTGTCATTGTCCCGTAGCGTGTTATTGTAATACTTGGAAAATGTTGGAAGTTGCAAAATCTGATGAATAAGTGTGGAGAAGCGGGTGAAGAGCTCAAGAAAATTCCTAAAAATGAAAGCATGCTGGGCATGATGGATTGGAAGAAACATGTTAGTCTAAACCAATATGTCCAAGTCTTGGTCCTGGCAGCACATAAAGAAAAAATAAATATGACACGCTCTGGAAAATATTACGCCATGTCTGACTATATGGTCCATG